GTTATTATTGCTGAACCTCACATTTTAAGTTTCCTTCTTGTCTCCCAATCAAAAGTGCCACAGAAAAACACTTTCATAAGAAAACCATTAAAGGGAATACCAATGGCCAGGCATTGGCGGGACACACCTTTAATCCAAGGACTCCAGAAGCAGAGCCAGGGAGATCTCTGTAGATCTGGAGATCTCCGGGCCAGACTATGCTATAGAGGATCATGCATTGAATTGTCCAAAGTAACACAGGTTAACCCTATCTAGAAAAAAGAAACAAACCCAAAAGACCAAAAATAAAAACAAAGAAAAGAACCAAATAAATAAATAAATAAATGTAAAGGAAAGGGCCAGCAACCTTAAATTCATAAGATAGCAAAGTAATGTACACAAAGAATGAGAGTACATTCCCATCTTCAGGATTCAGACAGAAGATGAAACCCTTGATCAGAAAGGTTTTTTTTTTTTTTTTTTTTTTTTTTTAATCTGTGTAGTGGTGTCTCATGATTTCATCCTAGCACTCAAGAGGCAGAGGCAGGGATATCTGTACAGGGACTGGTCTACTGGCCTACAGACCTAGTTCCAGGACAGCCAAAGGTTTTACACAGAGAAACCCTGTCTTCAATATCCAAAACCAAGCAAATAAACAAAGAACAAAACCAAAAGGAAATGTTGTGCAATGACATCTCCTCATAGCTGTGAGCAGCTTCTCCCAAAATACACAATCAATCACAAAAACGCACATACTGAAGCCTCCAAGAAGCCCAATGTTTCTATTCTCCAAACTTACCTCCTTCTAGGGTGAATTTCAAGGCAGTTCCTGGAAGCACTGGGATCTGATGTTTCCAGGACTCTGCTCTGCTCCTTATGAAGTTCTCTTCAAATTCACATGCTTTTATGCTGCCTGGCTTCAGAGTCAATCTGTAATGCTAATGATTTGAGGATGAGGTTGGACCACACCTCCTGTGCCTGGGTGTGGCAGCCAGAACTCTCTTCAGGTTAATCACTAAATACAGCAGGGGAGATCAGCTTGACCAAAATCTCAGAAACATTTACTCCGAGGATTAAAGTTCTGGGATTAAAGGCTTGTGCCTTTTTGAATTAGCTACTCCAAGCATTCTCATTAGCAGCTTCGATTGTATTCCTCCAACATCTGAAGTCTCATCCCCAAAGACTGTGGTCTTCTATCAAAATGTGCTTATTCTCATGTCAGAAAGATCAAAACCTATATGTCTAGTCAACTTTTCTAGTTTAGAATGCTGAATCTTCAAGTTGCAGTTCTCCTGGGAGAATGCAACAGTCCATAAGTAGGAAAGAACTCCCAATTTTAGAAATGGATTAGCCAATATGTACAACTATTATTGAAAAGTCAGTATAAAAATGCATTAATTGTCTGCATTAATATTTATTCCTGTTGTATATATTCTGTATCTTAATAAAGGGTAACAAAGTTGGTCAGAAGAAACATTCCTATGAAGAACTTTGTTTTCATGGGAATAATACGAATGCTACTCTGTGTCACTATTTCTGTTTTGTCCTGAGAAATTCAGGGAATACAATTCAACCTAAGTTTTTAAAATGCTTGGAGAAAGTCAGTGTTCCTTAATTACTGCACTCACCTTTAATCTTTGCACACTCCATTAATATGTCCACACACCTTGAATCTCTGCACACACCTTTAATTCCAGCACTAAGTAAATATATGAGCTGGGTCTCTGTGAGTTGGAGCCCAACCTGGACTACATAGTGAGTTTCTTTATAGCTTAGCCTCCAGAGACGGAAAGTATCTCAATACAACAATAAGCAGATAAACAAAAATATGCCTCAAGTAGTCTAAAGACATGAGACAGAGGGCAGGAGGCAACCAGGTAGTGTCTGAAGTATGTATGAAAGAGAAAAATAAGAGGCTTACGGGTGCTCATCTCTGTTGGCAGAGAGGGCTGCATGTATTTTCATTGGGAAAACATGTGGTTGGATAGCAATGATGTGAAGACTATAAAATGGGATGGGATTAAAACTGTGTGTCCTGTGAGGACAAGGTGTTTTTGTTCTCACTTCTTTTCCTTTTGTTTACATTTTTTGTTCCAAATTAGTTTTTACTTTTTTTTTTTTTTTGTTTGTTTCACATGTTTTCTGAAAGCCCGTTCTCACCCAAAGTCATTAAGCAATCGTAGATGACCCTGCAGTCTAACCCTATAGCTTCTACTCTCTCTCAGTCTGGTGTTACAGGAACACCTCACTACTTCAGAAATCATTTTGTTTGTCTGCTTAGTGTTGTTTCCGAGAGTTTCGTCTTTAGAGCCTAAGATATACATGAACTCACTATGTAACCCAGGCTGGGCTCCAAACACAGAGATTTATCTGCATATTTACTTAGTGCTGGTATTAAAGGTGTGTGCTCATATTGAGAGAGTGTGCAGGGATTAAAGGTGTGTGCATGGATTAAGGGCCTCTGACTTTCTGCAAGCATTCTAAAAGTTAGGTTGAATTATGACTCAGAAATTCTCAAGAAGGAAGTAAATAGTGATACACAGTAGTCTGTGTATTATTCTCATGAAAACTAAGTTTTTCATAGGAATACTTCTTCTCACCAACATTGTTATCATTTATTATAATACAGGAATGAATACAAATGCAGATAAATCATGATTTTTTTTTAAATACTGAGTTTTCACTAATAGTTGTAAATATTGGCTAATCCATCTGAAAAATTTGGAGTTCTTTCCTATATGTGAATTTTTGTTTTCATTCCAGGAAAACTGCAGAAATTTTGGGTTTTGATCTTTCTGACATGAGAATAAGCACATTTTGATAGAAGACCACAGTCTTTGGGGATGAGACTTCAGATGTTGGAGGAATACAATCGAAGCTGCTAATGAGAATGCTTGGAGTAGCTAATTCAAAAAGGCACAAGCCTTTAATCCCAGAACTTTAATCCTCGGAGTAAATGTTTCTGAGATTTTGGTCAAGCTGATCTCCCCTGCTGTATTTAGTGATTAACCTGAAGAGAGTTCTGGCTGCCACACCCAGGCACAGGAGGTGTGGTCCAACCTCATCCTCAAATCATTAGCATTACAGATTGACTCTGAAGCCAGGCAGCATAAAAGCATGTGAATTTGAAGAGAACTTCATAAGGAGCAGAGCAGAGTCCTGGAAACATCAGATCCCAGTGCTTCCAGGAACTGCCTTGAAATTCACCCTAGAAGGAGGTAAGTTTGGAGAATAGAAACATTGGGCTTCTTGGAGGCTTCAGTATGTGCGTTTTTGTGATTGATTGTGTATTTTGGGAGAAGCTGCTCACAGCTATGAGGAGATGTCATTGCACAACATTTCCTTTTGGTTTTGTTCTTTGTTTATTTGCTTGGTTTTGGATATTGAAGACAGGGTTTCTCTGTGTAAAACCTTTGGCTGTCCTGGAACTAGGTCTGTAGGCCAGTAGACCAGTCCCTGTACAGATATCCCTGCCTCTGCCTCTTGAGTGCTAGGATGAAATCATGAGACACCACTACACAGATTAAAAAAAAAAAAAAAAAAAAAAAAAAAAAAAACCTTTCTGATCAAGGGTTTCATCTTCTGTCTGAATCCTGAAGATGGGAATGTACTCTCATTCTTTGTGTACATTACTTTGCTATCTTATGAATTTAAGGTTGCTGGCCCTTTCCTTTACATTTATTTATTTATTTATTTGGTTCTTTTCTTTGTTTTTATTTTTGGTCTTTTGGGTTTGTTTCTTTTTTCTAGATAGGGTTAACCTGTGTTACTTTGGACAATTCAATGCATGATCCTCTATAGCATAGTCTGGCCCGGAGATCTCCAGATCTACAGAGATCTCCCTGGCTCTGCTTCTGGAGTCCTTGGATTAAAGGTGTGTCCCGCCAATGCCTGGCCATTGGTATTCCCTTTAATGGTTTTCTTATGAAAGTGTTTTTCTGTGGCACTTTTGATTGGGAGACAAGAAGGAAACTTAAAATGTGAGGTTCAGCAATAATAACTTCACATTTTAAAAAGGGGTGAACAGATACCTCTTATTTCAGGTCTTTCCATCCTCAACCCAGGATTTTTCTCCCTGGTGAGTCAGGTACCATTCCATCCCATGTTCTCTTTGCTCTGGTATTTGAAGTAAAATGTGTAAGACTATGATTAAGGATTTATTGTAAGAAATGATGGAAATGTGGTAGTTTGCTGTCTTTGCCCCCCCCCAAGTCCATAGGGAGTGGAATTTAGGAGGTGTGGCCTTGTTAGTGGAGACTGGATGACACACACCTTTAATCCAGACCACGGGGCTGGAGGGCACACCTTTAATCTAGACCACATCTTTGCCAGGAGTCAGTCAGTGTGGGGGTAAAATTTGAGATTACATACACTTGAGAATCAGTATATTCCCATTTCACTGAAGGAGTTAGCAGTCTTTTGGAGGCTCCAAAAACCAAGATCAAGCACCAGGGATGAACCCTGATCACATAACCCCGGGCCCAAGATGTGCCAGACTTCGTTGACTCCCCATGGGAAGCATTGCCCACTCTGTGGGGTGGAGAGTGACATTAGCATAGAGTGGAGGTTAGAGGAGCAGGAGCCAAGGAGAGACTGGGAACCGGGACTGATATCTAAAATGAGAAAAGATTAATTTTAAATAAAACAAATTCATGAAAGGAAAACATCAAAGATGTAGTATTAGCCTCAGCTCCAGAACCAACACTGTCTTCACGACTCCTTACTCCCCTCCATTATGGACAGAACCTGTGAACTGAACTGCAAGGGAGCTACCATAATGAAATGCCTTTATAAGAGCTCCATGGTTATGGTTATTGCTTATCAAGGAACTACTAAAACCGAACTTAAACAGGAACCATTAATGACAAAACTGTGAGTAGATTTTTTTTTTTATTTCAACATGTACCTTCTTTTAATTCATAGCTCTAACCATCCACACATTTCTTTTACAGATCTTGGCGTCACGTGACAGATATTTGACTGCCATGGGTGAATGAATGTTCCTGAGGCATCTAAGCACAATGGCTTCTCAGCACAGAGAATCACTTAAGACCAATACACAAGAAAATGACCATGTTTTAAAAAACATGGACTTTATACCAACCAAAGATTCTTCTGTGCACCAGGAAGAAGACACCTCTAAGTTCGCAATGTCTGAACTCAACATTCCCACACAAGGCAATTGCTCCTCCTGTGCAAAGCAGGAGTTACAAAACCTCTGGGAAATGTTCACCTCCTGGCTGCAGCCAGAGAAGCAGACCAAGGAGCAGATGATTGCCCAGCTTGTTTTAGAACAGTTTCTGAAAACTGGGCACCACAAGGACAAGACTGCCATGAAAGAGAAGTGGGAAGCAAGTGGCAGAAACATGGGGAGATTCATGGAGGGTTTAACGGATGACTGCTTGAAGCCTCCAGACATGGTGAGTACCGAGGGGGGCGGGGCAGTTAAGTCAGTAATCAAGACAGTTATTTTTATGTGTGGGAAAGTAGGAAGTTTTAGTTATTTTATCTGCGATGGTATATGGCCACACCAAAATATTCCAAATTGAGCTTTTCAACCTCTCTAAATTCATGGGAATAAAAGAGAAAGGATCCCATGACTTGCATAATCCTCATGATTATATTTAATGAATTTGCACAGTGGCAGAGAGACTGGGAGAAACACTTGACACACTCCTTTGCTGGATTAGCAGAGAAAGTGTGGGATTCCAAGATGTCTCTTTTAGGGAGGTGCTCACATTTGAGTCATGAGAACTGAGTCGGAATCTCAGCACACATTTGAAATCCTCCCTCCTCCCTCTCAGAACATGCCCGTGATCTCAGAACTGGGAAGGCAGAAACTAGAGATCCTATTGGGGAATGGATTTCTCGATTATCTGTTCCATGTCATTGAGATACCCCGTCTATAAAGTGAAAGTGGGTTCTAGTTCACACTCATGGGGGATCCCAAATTGACAGTCCATTCTCCCTAAGCTCTATCTAGCTCAGGTCCATCGTCTCTGTGAGCCCCCCACCACACACACACACACACACACACACACACACACACACACACACACACCAGCATTCAAATCATCCCTCCTCCCTCACTTCGACTCATCTCCAGAGCTCAGCCCAGTGCTTTGCTGTGGCTCAGCGAATCTTCTTCCATCAGTTGCTGGATGTACCTTCTATGATGACAACTAGCGTAGTAAATAATCTGTATGAAGGGGACGCCCCATTCAGACTCCCTGTCCCCTACTGATTGCAGTTTTAGCTGGAGTCATCCTTGTAGATTTCCAAGAACTTCTCCAGCCCCAGGTTTCACCCGAACCATTTAATGGCTCTCTGTACCAAGATATCTGTCACGGTCCTCCCCTTCTATTCTCCTAGAAACTAGTTCTTGTTCCCTCATGTTCCCATCCCCATTCCCTTCCTTCCACCACCCTTCCCAGTTTACCCAGGAGATCTTAACTATTTTCTCTTCTGGGGCCCCTCTTCTGTCTTTCCCTCTTTCTTTCATTTTTATTTTTTATTTTTTATTTTTTATTTTTTTAAGGGTAGCTTTGCTTTTACCTTACTTCTCTGGAGTTGTGGATCGTTGCCTGGATATTGTTCGTTTTACATATAATATCAACTTGTGAGTGAATACATACCTTCTTTCCTTCTCTGTATATGAGTTACCCAGATGAGGATGGTTTATCCTAGTTCTTTCCATTTGCCAGGGAATTTCATGATATCATTGTTTTTAAATGCTGATTAGTTCTACATTGTGTGAATGTACCACATTTAGAACTTTCCAGGTTCTAGCAATTACAATTCATGTTGCTATTAATGTAATTGAGGAAATGACTTGGTGTTATCATTGAATATCATTTGGAAATAAGCCCAAGAGTGGTATTGCTGCATCTTTTGGCAGATTGGTTCCCAGTTTTCTGAGCAACGGACATTCTGATTTCCAAAGTGGCTGTAGAAATGTACCCTCCAACCATAAATGGAGGAGGTTTCACCTTCTCTACATCCTCTCTAACATAAGCAATTATCTGTAAATTTTGGTGCTATCCATTCTGATGGGCTAATAGGTATCTCAGACTCATGTTATTGTACATTTCAGTGATGGTTGGTGATGTAGAGCCCTTCCTCAAAGGTCTTCTGTTGAGAATTCTCCGTTTAGATCTGTACTCTGTCTTCTAATTGGGTTATTTGGTGTCTCCCTTCTTTTGTTCTCTGTATCTTGGCGGTCAACCCTCAGTTAGATATGGGCCCTGTGAACAAGTTTGCCTATACTCTAAGCTTCCATTTTTGTCTCACTGAGCATATGTTTGCCTACAGAAATGTCTCAGTTTCAGGAGGTTCCAAGGATTGATTGGTGCTGAGTCTGTGCCGCTACTGTTACATGTAGTAAGTGGTCTCCAGTGCCAATCCTTTCGAGGCTCCTTCCCACCTGTTTTTATAACAGTTTCATTGTGCCTGGATTTATGTTGATCCACTTGAACTTGGATTTCGTGCCCAAGGAAAGATAACTACCTATTTGCATTCTTCAACCTTTCAACGGGCAATTATGCCATCACTGAATAATATGATTCCTATTTTTCATTACATCATTTTGATCTTTTTCAAAGAACAGGTGTTTGTAGGTGTGTGCATTAATACCAGGCATTCAATTTGATTCCATTTGTATACCTCTGTTTTTAAATCAATACCAAACTGTTTTCATGACTACAGTTTTATAGAAGAGCTTGAGCTCACTGTAGGTGACACCACTATGTTCATTGATTCCTTGTAGTGCTCTTCCTCCGTATTGATATCAGCCCTTGCTTTGATTATTTCCTGGTGTCTACTATTCCTGGGTGGGTTTGCTTCTTTCTTTCTGTTTTCCGGTGTGCTGTTGGTCACTATTGTAAAGAGTTCTCAGTGTTCTTTATGTAGGAACTTAGTGCTGTGAAATTTCCTCTTAGCACTACTTTCTTTCATAAGTAGTCCCATAAGTTTGGGCATGTTTCATTCATTTTTGTTGAATTCTCAGATGTCTTTAATGTCTTTTTTGTTTCTTCCTTGACCCAGAGATGATTCAGTTGAATGTTGTTCAATTTCCATGAATACCTACCTAGGCTTTCTACACTTAGCATGGCTGTGGAATTCTAATTTTAAAGCCAGGGGTTTCAGAGCCAACTCAAGAAGTTCCAAGTAGCTGGAGGCGGTGTTGGACCCACACTCTGACCCAAAGCTCACACAGAGCAGTGGGCCATACAGGACAAAACCACACCTATTTTTCTCTTAAGTCCATTTCATTCAAAAAATTTTCTCAACCCTTTTCTCTAAAGTAATCTCTTGTTTGAGAGTGGTGTGTGCCTTTTATGAAGCAGAACGATTGGTCCTGGGTTTCTTCCCCTTTCTGATACCCTTTATAGGTTGAGACCATTGCTATTAGGACATACTAATAATGAATGTTTATGGTGGTGGTAGTGTTTGTGTGTTTCCCTCTTTTGGGATTTGCTGGTGTGAGGGTGTCTGTTGCCTATGTATTTGTGGGAGCTACTGGTTTCCTTCTGTGGGAATTTTCCTTCAAGTACTTTCTGTAGGGTTGGATTTGTGAATAGATATTGTTTGAATTTGGTTTTGTCATGGGATATATTGTATTCTGTCTAAGGTGGTTGAAAGACTTGGTGTAAATAGTAGTAGGGGCTGGCATGCGTGGTATGAGAATACCCGTAGAACACTAAGTTTCAGGACCTTCTGGCTTTTGCAGTATCCATTAGGAGACTGGTGAAGTTTGATAGATCTTCTGTAAATATTACTTGTCCATTTTCCTTTGCTACTACGATTAGTATTCCTTTTTCAGTCTGTATGTGTAATGTATTGATTGTATACGGTGAAGGGTCTTCTTTGCGTTTTGCTTCAGCCTTCTTGTACCTTCGTCCACTTATCTTTTTTATGTTAGGAAAGTTTTCTGATTTGATTTTTTTGGATATCTTTTCTGTGTATCTGAGCAGGAATTCTTCTCTTTCTTCTTTCCCTATTATTCTTATGTTTGGTCCTTTTATGGTGTCTCAGATATCCCGGAGGGTGTATTTAACATTTTCTTTCTCTGATGAAATTATATCCTCTATTGTATTATCATGCCCGAGACCCTGTCTTCCATCCTTTGCATTCTATTTGTTGTGCTTGCATGTGAAGTCGCTCTTTGTTTAACCAGATTTCCCATTTTGAGCATCCCCTCATTTGGTGATTTCTCCAGTGCCTCTATTTGCATTTCCAAGTCTTGCTCTTAGTCCTACACTTGTTCATTTTTTCTTGGTTCTCTTGGCTTTCTTAGTTTCTTTATGATTTGTTTCTTTGAAGTTTTTGTTTGTGCTTTCTTCCATACCTTTATGGGAAAATCACATTTACTCCTTAATGACATCTCTCGTGTTTATGAGGTTATTTTAATATCCTTTATTTCTGCTTCATCTGTGTTGCGATGGTCTGCCGTTGCCGTTATATCCCCACTAGTTTCTGTGTCTACCATTTACTCTTTACGCTGTTGACTGTATTCTTGGACCACCAGCTACCCTTCTCTTCCTCTGATTGGTACAGTTTGAGCCTGTGCCTCTGGGTCTCTCCTCCTTAAACAGGTTCAGATGGGGCCTGTGGCTCCAGGGGTTGCTCTCCCTCCAGGTAAATGTGGTCCTGTGACTCTGATGTGCTTTCTTCACCAGGTGTATTGAGGGAATATGTATCCATTAGTTTCTGATGCAACAGGGGATGTTTAGGTAGGGATCAAGGAGGAGGAGGATGGGCAGCCAGTAGTGCTGCTGCAGATGTTTTAGAGCACTCACTGGAGTGCACTCTGTGGGCCTTGTCACTGAGAGCACCTCTGTCCTACCAGGAGCTTAGATGCTCATCCCTTCCTCCACGTGTATGGCAGGAGTGTGTCTCTCTTGCTCCCTGCGAGTGGGGGTTAGGGTTGGGGGAATTTCATAGGAGAATGGTGTGGAAAGGACACTGGGGCAGCACAACCCGGCTTGGGGACAAACGTGTCCCCGCAGGCTGTGGTGTGGATATCAGTGCTGTTACCTCTGCTTTTCAAGTGTGTTCTTAGTGTTGTCTGCTACTTCACCCTGCTGTTTATTTGAGGTCTCCCTCTATACACTAGTTAGAGTTTCACACTTTCCTTTATTCCGCATTTGACTCCTCTGATCTGATTTTCATATCATGATAGGAACGAGTCCCCCATTAAAATGCTGCCACAATTTCCAGTCGTGTTCTCAACAGCAGAGGCAGTGTGTTTATGTGGAAATGTTGTATGTGTTTGAAGTGTTTCAGTCATGTGTGAGTCGTGTTAATGGACTCTACAGTATGTAACCAAATCAGCTAAGTAATACAGCTATGATTCCTAGGGTATCATAAGCTAGTGGTGGTGGTTGTTACAGCTAACAACAAAAATTAGACAACACAAACTGTAAATAAAGCCCACGCACGCAACAAAGTTAATGAACAGTTGTAGGTATAGGGACCGCTGACATACTAAGGGCTGAGAGTTGAGAATGGGAGATGCTCAGATAATTGAGTGAAAAATCCAAGATTGCTGAACATGAAAGCAGAAAGTTAAATCGCCAATCCAGAGTCAGAATAGCAAAATGCCACCGAGTACAAAATTATGGTAGACATCCCAAAGATTCCAGTAAGTAGCATGACTAATCCGAGGCTGAATGCTTAATTAGGAGCTTCATCTAGAGTATCAGAAAGAATATAGCGACAGTATAGAGGGAGGGGCGTCTGGGCACAGGGCGGTAGCCACAGATAGTCAGCGTCACAGAAAAAGTGGAAACAAGGAACTACAGATTACAGCAACACAAAGAAACACTAGCAATACAATTCTTATCTTCCTGTTAAACAGAACAAAGTGTATTCGAGCAGACAACTCACTTCAAGTAAAGAAGATAAGGGAGAGCCACAGGCAGGCTCTTTTGTCTCTCCCAATCTCCAGTCTCCCTTCTTGATTTCTCCTATACTGCCTTGGTGTCTTTCTTTAAGCCACGCATTTTGTCATAGTTACCCTAGCTTGGCTGTGATGGGGACAATCTTTGGAATCATGAGAACAAATATTAGAGGTGAAGGCCCCACTTTTCAGATTGGACAAACCTCATCTCTCATCAGTCAATGTATTGATCGTTTTGGCCAGACACCAGGGAAACCCAATCTCCCCCTTTCCTTGGGAAAAATGACTCAACAGTTGCAAATACAGTGAGAATATTTCTTTGAGCTAACATAACTTGTGAATGTTAGGATAACCCTACGAGAGAGGAGAGACATAGACAAATGAGCTAACACACAGCCCAGTTATCCCATACAATGAGTTGGAAGGAAGCATTTCTGTAATCACTAGATTCAATGACCTTGATTATCTGGCTTTTTTTTTTTTACAGGTCCATGTGTCTATGCAGGGAGAGGAAGGACTCTTCCCTGCACATATGGCGTTGAGTGAAGTAATCACGCTTCTGAAATCACTTCAGTCATCAACAGTATCAACACAAGAGATTGCAGGATCACACTTACAGATGTCCCCCAACACTTTATTAGCAACAAGTGAGTATCAGGAAGGTGCACAGAAGAGGGGTGTTGGGTGGCGACCCCTTCTTGGGCACGCTTTCATAGACTGTCTTGTTTGCACAGGATGTGAACACATTGAAGATGGCTACAACAATCCTCTAAACCTTTGCAAAGAAAATAGCAGCGATAGTAGTCCTGGAAATGAAATGGATTCCATTTTCATTATTCTTAAGGAGAAATGTCCTGAACCAGAGCAAGGAAGTGTCTCTGATGGAATCCCTTGGGATTCCAGAAGTTCACATCAAGACTCTCCCAGGTACCATGAAGTTTCTCAGAGGGCATCGTCTTCTGAAGCTGTCCCCAAGGAGGAACTAAAATCAGAGACTATGGATCCCATGGAACATGTGGAAGCAGAGATTATCAAGAGGCCAGAACAGATTGAACACTGTCAGAAATGTGAGGCCAACCGCACATGTGAGGTTCACCAAGAGAGACTCCACGGAGTGCCAAAGACATATAAATGTGACCAATGTCCCAGAAGTTTCAAGTACCCTTCAATACTTTCAGTTCACCAGAGAAGGCACAAAAAGGAGAGGTCCTTTTTTTGTAACAAGTGTCACAAGGGCTTCTATAACCTCTCGGACCTAAATGTCCATTCAGTCACCCATGAAGGAATGAAACCTTTCGCATGTAACACATGTGGGAGATCTTTTAGCCATAAAACCAATCTCCTAGCGCACGAGAGGATTCACACAGGAGAGAAGCCCTACAACTGCTCCAAGTGTAACCACAGTTTCCGGCAGTCTTCAACGTATCACCGTCACAGGAGGAATTGCCACAAATCAGACTGAACTTTGCACCTTCCTCGGGAGAGGCTAGCTTGCTACAGGCTGATTTTGCTACCTGCACAGGAAGGAGCTTGTAGCCTCCACACAGCAAGCAGCCATTAATGGTGTGGTGTGCAACTTCTGTATTGTCCCATCTGGAGTCCCATTCTATTGTCATGGGCCCTTCAAGATGAAATCATATTTCTGTTGACTAACATGTTCTAATGCCAAAAGTGTCTTATAATTCTTGCCTCATATATTAAAAAAGTAAATGAATAGCAAATGCCTTTTATTATACTTGCTTTCGTGTGTGTGTGTGTGTGTGTGTGTGTGTGTGTGTTACATTCTGATTTTTTTTAATTTTTCTCTAATTTCCTATCATGAATGGACAATACAGGACTTGATTGTGAGTACTTAAGTTTTACATTGGAAAATTAAGATTATAGACCAATCTGCATCACCTCACACATTCCAAATAACACCTGTCTCCAGTTCTCTTCTGTAAAGTTGGCCGGACTGTGGCTTAACATTCTCTGTGACTTCTTCTACCATGTTCTGTTTTAAATCCCCAGTAATATTAATCTTGCCTTTAAGGGTGCTACTCTCTAGATGGTCTTCCATTCCATGAGTGATTACTGATTAAAATTCACCCTGATGTTCCTCATGTGAGTAGACAGGGTTCTGCCTTAACACAAAAATTTCAGTTGCTAAACATCATTCAGGATTTGCCCCATTGTTCCCATTATTGTTCCACTACAACCGTCAAAGCTGTAATCGAAGGACCCCTTGAAATTGAAGGAGTAGTGATAGCTGTATGGCTGATACCTTCTTTTGACAAATGTATTTTTTTAATTGAGAAACAAACAACTTACATATCAATCCCCCATTACCTCTCCCTCCAAAATTCCCATGTCCTTTAACAACCACATCAACTCACCCCCCACATACCTGCTCCCCAACCTGTAAGGAGTAAGGTTTGTTCCACCTGCCTCCTGGTCTTGTCCCACCGCCACGCCAGCCCCAATTAACACACTGAGACCATGTACTTGATATAATTGGCCAGGTACTAGTTTCTTATCGGCTAGCTCTGTCTTAATTATTAACCCATTTCTATGTATTTCCACGTGGTCTTACCAAGGAGAGGCGGCTGGCAGTTCTGCCTTTTCCAGACTTCCATCTTGACTCCTTCTTACTACTTCCTCTTTCCTTCTTGTCTCCTAGTCCCTCCTATCATCCTTTCCTATTGGCCAACAGTGCTTTATTCATTAACCAGTATGAGATGCATATATATATATATATGCATCTCCCATCACCAACCTTTACTCTGAGTTAATGTATGTGTTTAAGGTAGAGATAGATTTCTTGTATGCAGCAGAAGGATAGATTCTGTCTTTGTATCCATTCTGTTAGCCTGTGTCTTTTTTTATATGGGAGTTAAGACCATTAATATTGAGGAACATTGATGAATGTTGATGATTGATTCTTGTTTGATTTGGATTTGGTGGTGGTGATGGTCTTGTATATAGATTCCCTGCACCCTTTTTCTTTTATTTTCTTTTAATTTAAGTTTTTTGTTTAATTTATTATTTTACATATCGATCCCAGTTCCCTCTCCCTCCCTCCCTCCCTCCCTCTCTTCTTCCCTCCCTCTTACCCTCTTTGCCCTCTCACATGCACCCTTTTTCGTTTGGTGTTTAGTGAAGTGGATTTATCTATTGCCTATGATTTTGTGATTGTAGTTAACTTCCTTTGGTTGGAGTTTTCTTCCAGACCTTTTGGTAGAGCTGGTCTTGAAATATATAATGTTTAAATCTGATTTTGTCATGGGATATCTTTTTTCTCCATGATAATGATTGAAAGATTTGCTGGGTATAATTGTCTGGTCTGGCATCCATGGTCCCTTAGTATTTGTAGAACATCTATCCAGGACTTTCTGGCTTTTAGAGTTACCATGGAGAAGACAGATGTAATTCTTATTAGTCTACCTTTATATATTACTTGGCCTTTTTCCTTTGCCACTATTACTATTTTTTTCTTTATTGTGTAAGTTTGGTGTTTTGATTATAATGGGACCAAGGGGACTTTTTTGTGTCCAACCTACTTGCTGTTCTTGAAAGCTTCTTGTACTTTCATAGACATATCCTTCTTTAGTTTTGGAAAGATTTCTTCTATGATATTGCTTAATATATAGAAAAAATTGTTTTCTGTACCTTGAGCTGTATTTTGTTGCCTTCTTCTATATCTATTATTCTTAGGTTTGACTTTCTCACAGTATCCCACATATCCTTGGTATTTTGTGTTAGGGAATTGTTGGTTCTAAGATTTTCTTTGCTTGATGACTCTATTACTTTTAGTGAGTCCTCAGCAGTTTAGATTCTCTCTTCCATCTCTTCTATTCTATTAGTTATACTTACATCCATCTGTAGTTCCTGATCATTTGTCTAGCTTTTCTATACCCAGCATCCCCTCATTCTATTCCCTTTAGTGTTTCTCTTTTACTTTTCAAACTTTGAACTGGTTTAATTGTTTCCTTTTTTGTTTGTTTTTTCTTGTCTTTCCTTGCTTTCTTTAAGAGATTTATTATTATTATTATTATTTGAATTTGGTTTGTCTTTTCCTTCATTTCCTGTATTTTTGTTTGTTTTTTCTTCCATTTCTTTAAGGGATTTCTCTTTTTCTCTTTGGGGGTCTCTATCAACTTCATAAGGTTGTTTTAAGGTCCTTCTTTCTGCTTCATATGCATTGGCATTTTCAGGTCTTGCTAGTGCAGAGTCCCTAGATTCTTGTGGTGTCTTGTTGGCCTTTCTGTTATTGAATGTGTTCTCAAACTGTCATATTCCCATCACTTCTTCTAGTTTCTGCAGGTGGGGATCTCTCTCCTGTCTCTCTCCTACACCCTGTGGGTGTAGGTGGGCCAAGACTTCAATGTTGGCAACTTTGGATGATCCAGCCCCTCTTGGCTTTGCCCTCACCCAGAGAGTATAGGGGTGGCAAAACTTTGATCTGGGCAGACTACGGATGTCCCTCCCTGCTTGGGAGTGTCCACTATATGTGAATCAGACCCTGAAATCTCCAAGGAGGGGATGGGGTGCATGGGACCTAAGAGGAACCCACACTTACCTCAAGGGTATAGATTATTAGGTGGCGCTGAGACTGAGATGCGGGCAGACTACAGATGGCAGGCCTAGGCAAATGTTTTCCATTAATGAACTCCAGAAACTATCAAAAGATAGTAATAAGGAATAATATCTATATTATTAAACAGAGTTCTGTGCTTCCACTGACTGAGTTGTTGGGATCTGTTAATATATTGGCAATATCCCTATGAAGGCTGAGCAGAGTTCAAGTATACTGTATACTTTTAGTGGATGAATGGTGACATCCCCCAAAGTAGATGGTGCTTAGTGCTGTCTTAGAGCAAGTCACCAGGAGGCTTCAGTTATTAAAATTCAGAATTTCATCAACTGAAAGGGATGCTAACAGAAGCTATGCCTTTTCACATTGAAGATTTTTGCATTTGGCTTTCTAGTCCCTTTTTATATAGCATGTTCTCCTGTCTGTTTTCTTCATGATGAGATTGTATTTTAGGAGATTTAGGACCTCAAGATTTCAACATTAAAGATTCCTAGATTACGTTTGTGGGGTTATACAGAATCCTGGATTAGAACCACAATATTCTTTATGTTTCCAAATAGGGTCCTATCCCAAGGCTGGGGGTTAAGTAACATGAGTATCAGAGGGAAAAAATATAAATTTTACCCAAGTATGGGCCTTTCAGTGAATCCTAGGGAATTTTTCCTCTGTAGGAACAGTGACACAGAATGCAATGGTAGTAATCAACCATCTTTCCACCTGAATATAATGTCTACTACACAAGATGGAACTCGTAGCGGGCACCATTTTCAGGTCTAAGAATATGTGAGTAGAAAGGTGATAGATCCAACTAGAGAACAAAGTACTATTGTTGTACTTAATATATAAAGTATATAAAAGAAAACTATCCCCAAAATTCTTTAATTTTAAACACATAGCGAATCCATTAACCCTCAATATAGGAGGTTCTCTTTGCATTATATGGGATTAACACAGTTACTCAAAATTTATAAATTTGCTGTGAGGAAGAATCTTCACAATATCATCCCTAAATGGGACAACTCTGTCATACCTCCTCCTATCAAGCCTCAGAGACCATTAAAAAAAAAGGGAAGAAAAAAGATTGTAAGAGCCAGAGGGGGTGGACCCCAGTAGAACTGTTTTAAGGATACCACGGCACACTTGCAAGTATAAACTCAAAGTGCTTCTGACAGTATACATAAGACCTGAAAAAGATAAATCCTGACACATTCTCTGCGCATGAAAGACACAGATGTACTGGAAGCCCTACTCCTAATTAAGAGATATTGGTAGCAGTGGACTGAGATAAACGTGTTTTTTTGTTTTGTTTGTTTGTTTGTTTTTAGAAGTGACCCTGAGAGACCACTCATATTCTGGCAGATATCCCTACCATCAAACACATATTAGTGGCACAAAGTACACGTGATAAGTTAAAAAAAAAAAAAAAGAAAGAAAAGATCACATATTTTGATAGAATAGTGATGGGGGAATGGAAAAAAATAGGAAAGAGAATTCTCAAAGAATAAAATATCTTAATAATTAATTGTAAGGAGTAAGATTTTCCTTTGCCGGCTTGGTCTCACTGCGGCGCCAGCCCCAAATAACACACAGAGACTCTGTATTAGATATAATGCTGTTGGCCAGTTACTTGTTTCTTATTGGCTGGCTCTGTCTTAAGTATTAACCCATTTCTATTAATCTAAGTACTTCCACATGGTCTTCTCTTACCGGAGAGCAGGCCCAGACCTCTATTCTCCAGCCTCTCCATGCTGACTTCTCCCTACTACTTCCTCTTTCCTCCTTGTCTCCTAGTCACTCCTATATTTCTTTCCCATTAGCCAACAGTGCTTTATTCATCAACATATTTACAGAATGACATCTCCCATCAATAAATATTTTCTATTGTTGTT